TAAAACATTGGGTTTTATTTTAATTTTTGACGGTGGAATTCACAATTGGTTGATTATAAACATGTCTATACCACATTCGCGGAACCTAGTCAGCGCACAAAACAAATGCACGTCTGTAATGTTAAAGTAAATGTAACTAAGCGTGCTACGCTTATGTTTCAACCGAGTTTTTACTTTACAAAATTTTGTGTCTACCAAATTGGATTGGTCCAATGTAATACTAATAATAAGTGTTGCCAAGATTTCAAAGCATTCGGTAAGCAAAGGAAGTATTGTAATCGAGTCCGTCGGCCGACTCTCTACTTTTACGTTTTCTCGATCTTTCATGACCCCTAGAAGACGAAGAAATAGGTCTGCCATTTCCGTCTGTCTGTCCGTCTGTCCGTATGTCCGTCTGTCCGTCTGTCTGCCGTCCCGGATTTTTATTAGACAGAAAGTACTGGACCAATTGTTGTGAAATTTTGTACTTATATTAGGAATATCATGTAGATGGTAAAACGCTAACCAAAATTTGTCTAATCATCCCCACCACTAATGCGATGACGTCACTTCAAAATTGTACATAGAAAATGGGTTTTAAATTGTATAAAATAACATACTCCTACACATGTAGTTTACGACTCCGAATTGAGTTTTCACCCGATACGTCCAAATTTTTGGAAAAAAAATTAAAGTTATAAAACAATATTTTGAAATTTAATTTTGAATCTGCTAACCCGAATGCTTTGAAATGTTGCAGATGTTTTAAGGCTATAAAGAGCATCATAAATCTTTAGTCAAAATATATTTGGTTATCCCCTCCAAAAACTTGATGACGTCAGCTCAAAAGTTTGCCGAATAAATCATATCTAAAATGTACAAATTATGATGAGTATGTACTTGTGATCTATCATTCCATTCATATTTTTTGGATTTGCATATACAGGGTGACTCAAAGAAATTAATGAATGCGTAAATGTATTTTACTGATTTACACAGGAACTACAAAATAAATGCTTTGAAATCGTGAATATGTTTTAAAGTTATCATCAGCATGGTAAGTTTTTAGTCAAAATGTATTTGCTCATCCCCCCTAAAAAATTTATGACGTCACCACAAAATTTTGCTGAATAAATCCTATCTAAAATGTACAAAATATGGTGAGTCTCTTGTTGTGATTTATCATTCCATTCAAATTTTTTCGATTTGCATATACAGGGTGACTCAAAAAAATTAATGAATGCGTCAATTTATTTTATTGATTTAATCAGGAATTACAGAACCGAATGCTTTGAAATCTTGGAGATGTTTTAAAGTTATCATAAGCATGGTAAATTTTTTATCAAGATGTATTTGCTCATCCCTCCTAAAAAATTGATGACGTCACCCCAAAATTTTGCTGAATAAATCCTATCTAAAATGTACAAAATATGGTGAGTCTCTTCTTATGATTTATCATTCCATTCAAATTTTTTCGATTTGCATATACAGAGTGACTCAAAAAATTAATGAATGCGTGAATTTATTTTATTGAGTTAATCAGGAACTACAAAACCGAATGCTTTGAAACATAGGAGATGTATTAAAGTTATCATAAGCACGTTAACTTTTTTATCAAAATGTATTTGCTAATCCCCCCTCAAAAAATTTGATGACGTCAGCTCGAAAGTTTGCCGAATAAATCCTATCTAAAATGTACAAAATATGATGAGTCTGTACTTGTGATTTATCATTTCATTCATATTTTTTGGATTTGCATATACAGGGTGACTCAAAAAAATTAATGAATGCGTGAATTTATTTTATCGATGTAATCAGGAATTACAAAACCGAATGCTTTGAAATCTTGGAGATATTTTAAAGTTATTATAAGCATGGTAAACTTTTGTTCAAAATGTATTTGTTCATCCCTCCTAAAAAAATTGATGACGTCACCCTTAAATTTTGCTGAATAAATCCTATATAAAATGCAAAAAATATGATGAGTTTGTACTGGTGATTTATCATTCCATTCATATTTTTTAGATTTTCTTAAGAGGTGGCTCAAAAAAATTAATGAAGTCAATTTATTTTATTGATTTGTGGGTATTGTTGGTGATTTAAAAGCGACGGTACGGTTTTGAGATTTTATTTCGTTGTTTACTGTTCGAGAGTGTGAGGAAGAAGAAGGAAGGGTGTTTAAAATGGTACACAGGTAAGCTCGGATTTGAAGAGGTGGAAGTAGGTAAAGAAGGGTTTAGAAAGTTCCAGAAGCGAAAAGAGAAAGTATGAAGAAGTGTAGGGCAGGTAGACGAAGGATAGGAAATATTTACATTTATACAAATATTACAAATGCGCTCAGGTAGAACACCTGATTTTGTGGGAACGGTTGTTCCTACAGATTAAATTAAAGGCAACACTTATTATTAGTATTACATTGGACCAACCCAATTTGGTAGACACAAAATTTTTTAAAGTAAAAACTCGGTTGAAACATAAGGGTAGCACGCTTATTTACATCGACTTTAACATTACAGACGTGTGCGCTGTCTAGGTTCCGCGAATGTGGAATAGACATGTTTATAATCAACCAATTGTGAATTCCACCGTCAAAAATTAAAATAAAACTCAATGTTTTATATAATAAGCGGAAGTCGAAGCAATAAAACCGATGGTCGTTTTGTTTACAGTTTCTCTGTTTGACTCTCACGTATGCTGTTACAGAGAACACAGAGAAGCGCCATAGTTTAAATTAAATGACGGTTGAGGACTCCGCAATTTATGTTGGCAGCAGTGTTTGGTTCTAACTAGGAATAAAATTAACTAGAAGAAATGTCACAATATTTTTAACGACGCGTTTTACTTTCGACAAATTGACACTAGATTTACCAGAATATTACAAGCTGCTTACTGTTTCCTTCATTTTCATTCAAATCACACGAATTACAATTATAGTGAACCAAGGTTTCTATTGGCATAGACTATTTAAATTTGGCGCTTGCCTTTGGCGGTTGAAGACTCCAATGTCAATAAGGGTGGTTTTGCAAAATCAGCCTCTATGTCGCTTCTCTATGTTCTCTGGCTGTTACGCTTGTCATCTTAAATTAAGAATGTTTATACATAAACGATTTTCAGTTGCCTCTCATATTACTAGACAGCGGATTTCTGTCGGGCTACGTCACGATTATAGGTGGGGACGCGCTGGATCGCCGGGACTCAATAGCGGGTGATAGATAATCACTGAATTTAATCGGTACTAATTCCATAAATATAATTAACGATTTATTAATCAAACGGCTAAGTAAATGAGAACGGGAATTAACAGCAGAGTGCAACGAAACAGCGTTATTCTAATCTCAAATAAACGAAGTGCAGTCCGTAACTGCAATGAATTCGCATCCCGTACGAGCCGTACCGAGTTTGGCCTTGCCTAGCCCGACAGAAATCCGCTCTCTACATATTACACACCGGCGCCGTATACGTGAGTAAATTGTTTCGTTATTTTATTGATTATAACAAATCAATATTCAAAACGACCCAATTCATTTTCCCGAAAATTTGGGAATACAATAATTTTATTCTTAGTATTACACTACATCTATCCCAACTGATATACGTGTCCTTGCAAAAATGTTGATGACGTCATCGCAATTTTTTTTTAAATTCCCACTACAAAAATGTAATGAGAAAAAAATACAATAGGCATGCAGTCGTCAAGTTTCCGACAGCGAGGGAAGTACTGTCTAAACTCTTTAGACCAATTTTTTACTTCAGAACCGAAGGAAGTTCTGTCGAAACAACTTTAGACCAATGTTTCCAACTGGAACTAGTTCCGAAAAAATGGTTGTTACCTTCATGAATACATCTTGTAATGGTGTTATGATTTGTCTTTTCCAACGCTTTGGTGCTAATCAAGTATATGAAGTGCCACATTTTTCACTTGTCAAAGTTCCAAACAACAAATTTGCGACATCCATCACACATGAATCGGTTGTTTCGATATGAAAATAAATCAGATTATCGCCTATAATTTGACGAATAACCTACTCTGTTTTCTGAAACACTTGAGCTTAATTTTGTGAAGGCTTGCCCCATTATGCTGAGTTTTCAAAAACTTTTTTTCACAAGCGACCTGAAAAATAAAATTAATTAATTCATACTGTGCATGTTTTTCTTCTCGCGTTTAATTGAAATCAATAAAATATCAATAAATGAAAGCAATTGTTTGAAATCGGAACTAATAAAAGTAAATGAGGCAAATTCAAAAATATAGCAATGATAAAAAGTGGTCAAAATTTATTTCGACAGAACTTCCCTCGCCCCTGCGGCCGCATAAAAGAAAATTAAATTTGATTGATTTTGTCTCCTTAGAACAAAGGGGTGGACGCACTGATTACTATAGCAAAACGGTCCGAAAATTATTTTGGGTGAAAAGCTGTTATTGTAATAAAATTATTTGCGATGTGACAGTAATTTTTGAGTAAATGCGCATAATAGCATTGCCAGCATAATCAAGGAAAAAGTTACTGTTTTGAGTGCTATAATAAAATTAAGTTTTCATTATATTGCGAAACGCATACGCGTTGCATAATGAAAATATTATTGACGCAAAGTATAAAAAAAGATATATAGATAGAATTTTTATTCTCTACAATTTTTGTATTTAATATTTTGCTCTAAAATAATCAGGGGAGCCAATATTTTTAACTTTCTGTTTTTACATGTAAAATCCATATGTACCAAAAACCATTCTACACCCGGTATACTTTATGTATCCTTGCTAAAAAGTTGATGACCTTATCACAAAATTTTGTTAAGACAAACTCAAATGAAACATACGCATAGCCACCTTTACATTAACACTACACACATATCTTTATTTTAACTTATAACAAAAAGAATCGCAAAATCAAATTTTAAATATTATATTTTATATTTTATGAAGAAGCTGGATTTTTTGAACCGTAATATTAGAATGTTAACGTTCGTTTACGTTTATACGTCAATAATCTTTAATAACTTTACATCATTTTTTTTTTAAGAAAAATTACGGAAGATGTGCCCCTTGGTACCCACGGCATCTTTCGTCAAAAGCCTCCAACATTTGAACACAGCTTATCACTGAGTGGATATGCACGAGCAGCACGGCAATCAATCGGTAATATAGGAAACATATTGTCGAGAAAGATGGCGGCGACTACGTCTCAACCGTCAGTTCCTTGGCCAAATTCCAAGGATGATTATGAATTAGGCAAAGTAATCGGTTAGTATTCACATAAATTTACTTAAGAGAAAAAAGTGCTTCAGTTTGGTGTACCGTATGAAAAATTGATGTTTAATTTTAAGAGAATAAACACGAGTTTTTCAAATTTGGAGGTTATGTACTTTTTTGGTGTTTTAATTCCGGTTTCGGTTTTTCGAATTTAAAAGGGAGCAGTGTACAGTTTTAGCCAACATTACGATAAAGAATGAAAAATTTTGTGTTGTGTAGCTTCATTTTGGTTTGTCATTAATATCCAAAACGTAGGTATGATAATATTTGTAATGAGTGGATGTTGTTCCACAATGTAATTTATGACGAATGATCGGCGACTTACAGTTGATTTCATTTGACCTTATTCTGATTAGGTTAATTGTTTATTGGTTGATGTGTTTTTAAAAGTTTTTTTAAAAGACTGGTTCATTGACTTTGATTCCAAATATTGTTATTAATATTTTGTTTCAAAATAGGTGTAGGTGCTACTGCTGTTGTCCATGGGGCATTTTGTAAACCCAGGAATGAAAAATGTGCCATTAAAAGGATCAACTTGGAAAAATGGAACACTTCCATGGATGAATTGCTCAAAGAAATTCAAGCAATGTCTAGTTGCAATCATGAAAATGTGGTTACTTACTATACAAGTTTTGTTGTAAGAGAAGAATTATGGCTTGTTTTAAGATTACTAGAAGGTAAGTAAACTTTGTTCATATTTACTTGTCTACTAAAATAATTCTGAATGCCCCACCTTACATTAAACTGGATTAAAGACAATTTTTTGACCAAAGTAGATTGTAATTCTCATTTTCACACTGTACATTACGGATAATGATAAATTAAACATAAAACTCACTAGAAACTTTTAATATCAGTGTCAGAAAAATGTGGTATTTTAAAATTAGTTTTAAATTTTTTATAATTTATCGTGATTTCTTCAGCGTGTTAGTCGTTGTGAATGTTGTTGTCATTGTTTTTCTATTCATATTGATTTTATTATTGTACGTTTTTAACATCTTATATTGTTGCTTTATTTGTTAGCATACCAATAAATAAAAGAATATTTAACGTTGAGTCATAGTAATGGAAAACATTAAGACAGCCAGATGTCTTAAATCATGACATCTATCTATAACATGTACATAAAATGTATATACTTTTTCAATTATTAAGATTAAAACAAATTATAGCTTATACTTGTAACACCGTTTGTCCTGATTGACTGACAGTATAAACCCTATCGGGGGTTGAAAAATAATATGTCCTAATTGCCAAATCCACACAAGCGGAGTTGTTCTAGTAAGATATTCCACTGTCCCGAAATAAGTGTCCGCTTTCTAAAAAAAATAACCTTTTCTGATAATTAAATTAAATATTTTCTAAAAATTTTGAATTGTATTGTCAATTTGTTCATATTTATTTGGTTGTTCTGAATATACAAAGGCAATGACAAAAAGAAATTCTTCAAAAAGACTTTTTGACCTCACATCTGCATTTCTTAGACGTTGTAAGAAAAACTTTCGCTCTCAATGACAAATTCCACTTAGTTTTGTTGAAACCGAATATCCTATAGCCGCGAATTGCTTTATCCGCGCTTAATATTCCCTTTTACACTTACGTCAAAAAGAAACTGGTGCATACATGCCCCACAGGGTTTCTTCTATTAAATTCTGTTTTTTTTTTTGTTTGAATTTGGGCAAGTGGTTTTACTTCCAGGGCTATATTGCTTTTACACCGATAAATAATTTAAATAAAGTCTCTTTAAATTCGCCTAGAAACGAAGAATAATGGTTACCAAAACAAAAACCTTCATAGCTTTTTTCTTATATTAAAATGTTGAATTTAACTTACTACATACTACAATGTCGCAAAATACAGAAATGGGACACTATTTTGGGACATAGGGAGTAATAAACTTACACTTACACTACACAATAATTCTGTTGTTTTATTTGATATACAATCTATAAAGCATATAGCTATTCACGAAAAACTCCACGCCTAAAAAATTCAAGACGTAACTAGAGATAAAATTTCAAAACCATTTTTGATATTTAATAATTCTATTTTAGAAAAAAAGTAAAACATATTCATCTATTTTGTGTAACATTGACGTAGAGTACTGTCATTAAAACTGACATTTCGTCAGAACTGATGCAGAGTGAATTCAAACGAGGGAGAGATACACATATATGGTGAGTGTTTCACGGTTGTGTAAAGTACATTATCTGTAGAGGAGATGCCTGACAACCTCTTGTTTTGAACATGTTTGTTAACAATTAACGTTTATTTCCAAATTATCAAATTCAACTGTTTTACTTAAAAAAAAAATAGTGATACAGTTAATATCAAAGACTACTATGTAATTACATTATTGGTTGCGCTTTGAATTTTTTAAACGGGGAGTTTCCCGTGAATATGCAGTATTGCAGTAACGTAATTTATTCATTGCAAGTAATTAAGTATTTCTAATTAGTATTAGCACGACTATTGCCCATTTACTGCATTTCTTTTAGTTAGAAGATAATATAGAAAAGATTAGACAAACCTAGTAAGTAAACACAATTTTATAACGAATTGGAATAATGACACTATACGTGATGCAGGCTCACGTTTGTCGTCGGAAGATTCTGTCAAGCAACAAACGTCACTCAGTCAATTTAATAGAAATATTATTATTTCTCTTAAATTAAACTGCTTGTTTCTACAAGGCAGCAGCACAAAAATATTATTTTCATTTTTGTTTGCAATAATAATGTTTTAAAAAATAACAGAAAATCTAGCAAAAAACACTTTTCTTAACCCGTCAAAAAGAAAAAAACAATGAATATAATTTAATATAATTATTACCTGCACAATTGATTCTTATTCAACCAATGTTTCCAGTTTGGTAGATTATTGTTACTACTCTTAAAATTATACATTTCTTGTTATAACTTTAACTTTTTTGTTTATAAAAATTTTCAAAACAAATGCGATTTAATTTGACAATTAAATTTATATTGAGTAATTTTTCAGTTAAAAAACAAACAGCGTCATTCGGGTCTAAAATTTTGATTGTATTAAAATATCTAGACATATGTACACTTGATATAATTATTAACACCAAATTATGTTCTTTTGATAGAATGCTCATTGTATTAACAGAAAATTACAGGAGTGGTAATTTCATGACATACTACTTATCTTATAGGCGAGGCGATTGCATAAGTGTTGATCATTTACGTATTGAAATAAATAATGACGAGAAGACAATGATTGAATAATATAGTGGTTGTTAATATGATGACATAAGTTAATATAAATTTAGCGCAAAATTACTTGTCGAGATGTGCGAAGAATTATTGTTAACGCTACTTGTCTTCTTTAATTATCAATGTTGGTTAGTGAAATTGTTTATATTATTGTTTTTTTTTTAACAGGAGGAAGTTTATTAGATATAATAAAACACAAAATGCGAGTAGCAAATTGTAAACACGGAGTATTTGATGAATCGACTATTGCTACTGTATTAAGAGAAGTTTTAAAAGGACTCGAATACTTCCATAGTAATGGCCAAATTCACAGGTATGTTGCGCTGCTTATTATTTTAAAATTCTAACGAAGTTTTGAAATGCCAGAGATATTAAAGCCGGCAATATCTTACTCGGTGAAGATGGTACCGTCCAAATTGCAGATTTTGGTGTGTCTGCCTGGTTAGCGACTGGTAGAGATCTTTCTCGACAAAAAGTTAGGCACACGTTTGTAGGAACACCGTGCTGGATGGCACCCGAAGTAATGGAGCAGGTTAGTTATTTAATTTTAAAATGCAGTAGAACCTCGATTATCTGGAACAATTGGCACTGAAAGTCTTCTGGTTAGCGAATGTTCCGGATAATCAAAAAATTAATTATTTTCAACAAGAAAAACACGCTATAACGTACTCAAAAAATTTTGTGTTTTCGGTGTTATGGGGAATTAACATTATAATAATATCGCTCACCGAGTGCTCAAAAAAATTACCGATTCAATGAAAACACATACAACAGCGAGCTTTTTTGACGAAAAATCACAACATAACTATCACAGAAACTACAATCAAGACTACAAAAAAATGAACGTCATTTTTCTGTTATTTTGAATATTTTTATTTAGTCCGTCGTAGAATAGGTAAGTCAGTACCGCAATGGTTCAATATACTAGCATACATCCCTGTATCCCTGACTAGCGACATTAATTACCGATCGCGTCGCCGTGTTTTGGGAACCGTAATTCAAAAGACATCTATTCTAACCGATATAATTAATAAAAGAAATTGTACTTATCGGCCCCGATCAAAGTTTTGTTCGTTAATTTTCATTTACAAAACACTTGTGAACAAATAACTAAAAGCCGTTCTCGATCAACCGAAGGCTGTTACAAATTACTAAGTTTTACGCAAAATCAACTTGTAGTGTTTCAACAGAAATACCAAAGACAATACTTACAGGTGTTTACTTTGTGATGGTGGAATGAGATTATTGACATCCAAAATTCTGTAGCCCCAACTAAGTACTTTTTTGTGTCCACCAACGTCGCAGTTTCTGTCAATAACATAAGCGGCAACACAGCTACGAATTTTTGATGGAAAACGAAAATGTCATTTTTTGTAGAGGTCGACCGACGAAAAACAAAGCTAGGTAAAGTTACTTTTTGTGACATTTGTAAACGTGGAACTTTCGGGCGTACTTATTTTAAAATCTATGATTGGAAAACTTTCATTAACCCCTATCTTGATGGATTTTCTTTTTGACTTGCGTAAAATTCTGTGTTGACTTGTCAAAACTGCCATCAGCAGTCTGTGGTTCTGCCACTGTCATTATACAAAAATTACTAGACCTATACAAAACAGGGTATAGTACCTATTTCATAAAATATTATTCGACATTCAAATAGCTGGGTTTTCGAAGACCTAATTTCGAATAATCGAGGCTGTATTATAAAGTATATTTACTAAAGCTCTATACCTACAGGACCAGAATAGACTGCTATTGTGGACCACATCAAGGTCATAAATTTAGTAACATTAGGGAAAAATTTAACTTGCGAGAATAGTCATTAAAAGTTAATTGTGTTAGCAATTCCTGTAATTCATGAGTGTTATTGTCATATTGGCAGTTTCAAGTAGATATTTGTCATGCGAGTTTTTTCAAGTGAACTGGTAAGACGACACGCTACATGTAAAGTTTAAGATTTGAAGAAAAATTTTAGGCATTCTTATTCCTTTTTCTTGCTGATAATGCTTTCAAATGATAAAGACAGAGTGTTTCATCGTCCTTGTATTTGCAATTTGTTTGCTGTTGATAGAAAATTCCCATATGTTTATTTTTTTCGGTTGTATAAAAACTGCGCAGCAATAATGAAGTTATGTTTCCTTTTCTGTTAATTGTCAAAATCTTCAGTCCAGAATGACAACATTTTCAATCAATCAATTAGTACATTAGATTTGACCTTAGGATGGCCCAAGGTAGCTGTTGCATTTTTTTATTCTCATAAGAAGCTCTAACATTTATTCTTCCCGTAATAAAGCACTATTGTTGTTAGTAATTTTTTAATAATTTAAGGATCACGGATACGACTTCAAAGCAGACATATGGTCATTTGGAATCACTGCTATTGAAATGGCAACAGGTACCGCTCCATATCACAAATATCCTCCAATGAAGGTACTTATGCTTACACTACAAAACGATCCGCCAAACTTAGACACTGGAGCAGAAGAAAAAGATCAGTACAAGGCTTATGGGAAAACCTTTAGAAAAATGATAACAGACTGTCTTCAAAAAGAAGCTTCCAAAAGACCCACTGCTTCTGAACTATTAAAACATCCATTTTTTAAAAAAGCAAAAGATAAGAAATATTTACAACAGACACTTGTAGCCATTGGACCTAGTTTAGAAACTAGAGTGCAAAAGGTAGATATAAATCGTTGGTACTTTTTTTATTGTTTTTATGTATTGTAATAGGCATCAAAAAGGCAACCAGGGGCCTCTGGAAGACTCCATAGGAAAGAAACGGGTGAGTGGGTGTGGTCAAGTGAGGATGAAGGGGAAGAAGGAGCTTCAAGTGAAAGTGACACAGATTCTAAACCTATGAATACATTGGCTTCAGCTGGATCATCAGGATCAGATCATGAAAGTAGCGAAGGCGATCCACCACCCGTTAATTTAGTTTTACGTATGAGGTATGCTGTATATTTCTGCTTAAAAACTATCAACTTACCCAATAAATTAAGAAAAGATTGTGGAACATATCATACAGAAAAAAGTTTACACTAGTATTATAATAATAGTAGTATACATGCAATCTTACTAGAAAATATGTACGAAAAATATTGACCATAAATTCACACTTAGGCGTCCAGGTTTCGGATCTAGTTGTGAGGAAAAATAGATTTAAAATATTTTGACTAAAAATTTGCAGACCCTTTCTTAAATTCCTAGAGTTTCTGAACGACAAATAGAACTACTCGAAAGCTGATGAAAAATAAAATAAGAAATTTGTTTTAGTTGTACAGTTAGGTACGATTTTCTAGGATAAATCACGATTTAATTAATTTGTTTTTAAAACAGACTGTCAAAATGGGGCTGGAAAATCACAATTTTTCAATATAATCTATGGATTTCCTATAACACACTATATGCATAACACAATCCGTGATCCATTCGTTCGTACTAAAATGTCGGGTGATAACACTTACTCTTATGACACTGTCTGCAAGTTATGGCATTGTAGACGATGAGAAAGACAACTTGATCGTCCAGCACGGATTAGAAAACTGTATATTGCACCTTGTAAGAATGAAGTGAAAATTTGAAAATTTACGAGTGGACATATGTTATAATTATTTGTTGGCTAATAGAGGAAAGCACGTTGCCTTAGTATAGTACTTAGCATGTCTCAGGTTTAAAACAGAGCGATATTTTCCATTGAAATTTTTGTTGTAATTGCAACAGTGAGATGACTTTCGTAACAACTTAACTCATACTTGAAAAGTTAATTTAGTAGGTTTAATTGTGTTGATTCTATTGTGCATTCCCTTGTTTCCATTAATGGAAATTAATACAATACATTTATAATTGACGATAATTTCACCTCAATATGTTATATGTGGTTATTGCTTTGCGTGGCATTTAAATATTAAAACCATTTTAATAGTACAAGTATTTGTAGTGGGGACCATTTGCTGAATATTTAATTTCATTAATTTAATTTAAGTTAATCTCTCGTCGTTTCATAATCCTAAGCTAGATTATGAAAAAGTAGGTATTCATTTCTGTGGGTGTATCGTCTGTTGGCGATTTTATTAGACCGATAATCTTTAAAAGTACGTTGCAGACATTTTTGTGAAATTTTAGGTGTAACGTAACGAAGCAATTTATTTTATTGATTAAAACAAAAACGGGATTTCTTGTTAAAATTCTGGGAATATGTATTTTGCTATTATTTTAGAAAATTGCAAACAAAACTCAAAGGCAAAGTGGATTCATAACAATCGCCTACATTTGATTTGTCAAAATTTTGAGGCTTAGTTCAAAAAATATCGAAATCAATTTGGCAAAAAACGGAAGTTCGCAACTGTCAGTTTGCAATAGTTTCGCTTGGCGAGACAGAGGTTTATAACCTCTCTGGTTGTGGGTGCGGATTGTTGCCTACATTAAAATTCTTTATACAATGAGCAGTGTTGATGCGAGTGGTGCAAATAGTAATTCGAGGAAGCGTTCTCTCGAATTAGGAGAGCAACTGTACGTCGCTGGTCACATCGGCAACTGCGCCTTTGAGGCGCAAACCTTTAAAGTCACATGCATCACATCACCTCAAAGATTGCTGTTGAACCACACAAAATTGAAATCCTTGATTTTTTTTAAATGGCATAAGTGATTAAATTTAATATTTTTGAAAAAAAAAATGTTTTTTCTGCATTCGGTAATGTAACACATGTCTTTCTTTATTTGCACAAAAAAAAACATTAAAATAATACAGTTTGGAAAATGTGAAATTTATTTGACCAGGAAATGTTGTCTTTATTCATTCTAAGTTTAAAGTTGCAAACAAAACTTAACAACAAAGTGGATTCGTATTAATAGCCCATACCTGATTTGTCAAAATTTTGAATTTACTGCATTTAAGTGTGTTAAAACAGAGTGACACAAGGGACAAATATAATGTGGATATGAACATTCACTTGACTTATAACTAGAGAACGGATTTCTATCGGGCTGTCACGATTATAGGTGGGGACGCGTGAATCGTCGGCACTCAGTAGCGGGTGATAATCACTGACTTTAATCGTCACCTGTTCCATAAATACAATTAACGAAAACTTAATTAGTAAAACGGCTAAATAAATGAGAACGGGAATTAACAGCAGAGTGCAACGAAGCAGCGTTATTCCATTCTAAAATAAACAAAGTGCAGCCCGTAACTGCACTGAATTTCCATCCCGTACGAACCGTACCGAGTTTGACCTTCCCTGACCCGACACGAATAACATTTCTCGATTTTTAAATATTGTTGACGGATCAATGTGCTTCTTACGTCAAATTGCCCCTGCTCCCCCTACTTTGGTTAAAAAAATATTATTTGACTAATTTTTATTATCATATTAATGTTTAAACAAACAATGCATATATTATAGCGAATATGTACCATCATCATGTTTATTGTTTTATAGGAATGCCAAACGGGAATTGAATGACATCAGGTTTGAATTCGCGGTAGGTAAGGATTCAGCCGAAGGTATTGCTGGTGAACTAGTTGGAGCTGGGTTGGTTGATGGCAAAGATATTGACGTAATCACTCAAAATCTTCAAAAACTCATTGATTCTAGGGATATGATAAAAGTTGTAACGTTTCCGTTGGTAAGATTGAGTTTTATATTGATTTTTTTGTATATTTGTTCGTTCTCTTTGTTATTTTAGAATTCAGGACTAAACAATAATGAAACTCCGGATGATAAAGCATTAATAGGATTTGCACAAATATCAATAACTGACTGAAATAAACTAGAAAGCAAACTCCCGTTGTGTCCCCTGGAATCTACTGATCAAATTGTATATAGATTAGGTAGGTTTTATAAATTAACTCTAATTTTATGCGCTACCAAAACGGTTTCTAATGTTTCCTTTTCACGTCATTTTTATACAGCCATTTTTATTGTTCATTTTTTTATTTATTTTTGAAAAATTTTATTGTGATCAATAGATTTCAAGCATTTGTACTTAATAGTCTTACATAGTACCAGATTATTTGCAGCTATGTCATTAATTGTTACAATTTTAAGGTTTATTACTATAGTTTATTCCAACTGTCATGCTTACAAAGATTTTTATTGAACTGTTAGATTTTAAGAAAACCATATTGCCTTTTTTAGAAGACTAGAAGTTTAACTGATTGGTTCTGCTTCATACTAAAATATCCATTGTTATAATGTTAAAAAAGGCCTAAAAGCAGGGCAAGCCAATGTATCATTGCGTGATCAGTATCATAATCTTTATGTGGGGTTGGTAACCTTTGTAAATAGATTATTTATTTATTCCATAATAATTGTAAATGCAATATGAAACAGTGAACAAAAAAAAAACAGTTGAGTACTTACTATTGTTTTATTAATCCCTTCTATTTATTATGAAATGCCATTAATAAGGAAAATATTCAACAGTCAAGTCCCAAAATGGGGTAGAATCGATCATGGTATTGATTGTTATCAATCGCTGTTACTAAAATCTTTAGAACGACTACTCGTTGTACTAACACTTATCCATAATTTTTTTGTGACAGAATAAGATAGGTAGTTGAAATTTTTTAATTAATAGCATACGTTAAAAAAAATCGCTGGGTGTAGAGAGGCGACATAAAGTGAGTTCCTATAGCCAACAAATGGGTAAATACAGCCATGGATGTTTTGTTACATCCATCCTAGACCAGGCCTTAAACCTTCGGATTACATTTTGTTCCTATCCTTACAAATTCTTCTCAGTGGTGTGAATAGCAGTTTTTTCGACCTAGTCAAAAATCAGTTAGCCAAATCATTTGTTGAAAACTCCCGCTGGTTCTACAAGAGAGGGATCATGCAATTACCTGTGTCGAAGTTTGTATAAATGAATAAAGACCAGCGAACAGTAAGATAAATATATTGATAGTGACAAGTGTTAGGATAAATAAGAATGATAAGAATAGAATAGTATATGACCGTGCGGTCGAGATAGTTGAATGGTGGTTACGAATTGAAAGACCATGTCGAAGTTTGTATAAATGAATAAGACCAGCGAACAGTAAGATAAATGTATATTGCTAGTGACAAGTGTTAGGATAAATAAGAATGATAAGGATAGAATATTATGTGACCGTGCGGTCGAGATAGTTGAATGTTAGTTACGAATTGAGAATTGAGAATTGAATGTGTATGAATGAGTTAAGAATTAAGAATCAAAATGCTACCCTGTGTTCCAAGGTGGGGTGGCTCTGGCTCCCACCCTTACGGGTGGGGAGGGGTGAAACAGGTCCCCGCCAGAGGCTCTAACATACCCCCCGCCTTGAAACAATTACATTGTTTTAACACCAAAAATAAACTATATGGAATATTAGAATGATAAATACAAATGAACTTACATGAATGGAATGGATATTGTTACAGAAGCAATGAACATGAAGAAACGCATTAACTAAAACAAAGATATCTAAAACAAATTACATGTGTACAATATCAGTGGATACACAATATTTACAATAGACCTAAAAGTAAATTTACAACAATTATAACGTACCGAATCAATGAATAATATGATGAGTGAATAATATGGCGAATAGATATAACAATATAAATATGAATTAATGTACATAATACAATAAACCAACAAGGAGATGCATATAACAAATTGACAAGATGTATGCAATATGGTTAAATAGAATGATAATGCATGCGATTGCGAAATTATCTTTTGCACTTCACCGACACTACACACACCACCACTTCCTTTCCAAAATGATGTTGGAGGGCCGCGTCCTAACCGCCACTGTAGACGCGGAAATTTCTCCTTTTTCACGAGGACCCATCTTGCCATTCCTGGAACGTTGGAAGATGGTCTTTGCCACCCTAACCTGCCTCTCAGTGTGGTCAAATAAGGGTGTGGGGACAAAAAATCTGCACAAATTTTAATTCACCGAAAATCGAGTTAGCTTTGAGAAAAATGACGGTTGACGTTATAACATTTTTTTACAGTTGTTAAAAATTGTTATGCCTAGTTCCTCTTGAAAGTTTCAATATTTTTTTTTATAATGGAACACTTAAATGAAAATGATCGCCGATCTGTGATTGCCGAATTTTATAGAAGGCATATGCATTTAAAAAAGTCATTCACCCTTAATCACTTCTTCCAAATGGGGATATCAAAAAAGACAACTTATAGTATTTGCAGAAGAGTAGAGAATGGGAATTCGGTAGAAAGACAAGTAGGAAGCGGAAGACCAGCAAGAAAAATGTCCCAGAAGAAGAGAGAAGCCTTAGTCAATCAAAGTCACGGTAAACTTGGTGTTTCACTAAGAAAGATTGGACGGAAATTTAAAATTGACAAAAAGTATGTTAGCAACATATTAAAGGAGAATAATGTCAAACTTGCAACACGAAAATCCGCCCCCAAATATTCAGAAAAACAAAAGTTGGAACAGAAACGAAAATTAAGGCATCTTTCTGAATCCGCTTTTTCCCCCTCAAATGGAAGTGAAATAATCATCGATGACGAATCCTACTTCACTTTTGATGGTAGCGATACTGCTAACAATAAACATTTCTATTGCAAGGAAGGAGAAGAAGTAGATGATAAAGTGAAATTCAAACGTCATAAAAAATTTCAGTCCAAGTTGTTGGTCTGGTTGGCCATTTCTTCACGTGGACATTCTACTGCGTTTATTTGCCCATCTGGAAATTCTGTTAATGCAGATATTTATGAAAAACAGTGCATTAGGTCTCGACTTGTCCGCTTTATAAGAGAAAAGCATTCGGATGGCAATTTTGTATTTTGGCCAGACATGGCAACAGGTCATTACGCAGCTAACGTTATTGCTGCATATAATGAGTTAAACATTCCTTTTATCCCTAAGGACAAAAATGTTCCCAACGTACCTCAACTACGCCCAATTGAACGTTTTTGGAGAAACCTAAAGAGGAATGTGTACGAAAATGGATGGGAAGCCTCGACACATGCAGAATTAAAGAAGCGTATACTGCTGAAAATACGGCAAACAAAAATAACGGCTTTTACAAATTTAATGCGCCGTGTTAAAACAAAAATTCTTAAAGCAAGTAGATATGGTACAGATTGTGTTCTTTAAAGTTGTTTTTATAAATGTTGTTGATCACGTTATTAATACCTGCTTTTATAATACAGTTATTCTAGTTTGAAATTTGTGCAGATTTTTTGTCCCCACACCCTTATTCGAGGTACCACGACTTCCAGAAGTGTTGATGGTAAGCGTGGATGAGGTGCCAGGGGATGGCCTGTTGATGGGAACGACGGCGTGGTCTTTTCCTGAGGGACCAGTTGATGGCTGACCGAAAGAGGCATTGGCTAGGTATAAATGCGACCAAATTATTGCGGTCGCTGGACAGAGGCTTCGAAAGGCGCGAATTCAGGACGGCTTTAACCCTGACAGCGAGCGCACACACGCCCTCGCCCTCAAGATGGTCTTTATCAGTAATTTCGTTATAACTCCGGCGATTCATATTTAAACTCTTTGAACGGTCAACAACCTCGCAAAGTTTATTGGAAGAAACGTGGGGATTTAAAATACAATTGTGTGACAGATAAACGGAATTATTTGAGGAATTTTCGTTAAGTACCTTCAGGTGCACAAGGTCTAGGTACTTCCTTTGAGAGACAATAAAACCCTCGTTACGTTTATGATCACGTCCCTCTGCTAACAATAATAGTTGGAGAGCCAGTTCTCGGGAATTTCCTAATTTAGGTAAATTTTTGAAATAAAGGATTGTGGAATGCCCCAACTTCCTCTCGACTGATAATAGCCACTTTGGATGCATTTGTGTAAAATTCTCTAACCGCGGCGGATTTTCCGAAAAGGGGTGTTTGACCATGAAATAGCCATGGGGTGAATGGCCTGTGGTGGATGGAAAAGGGGTTGCACAAAGATCGCTTTTGAACCCTTTGCTTAATGACCTGCTTCCGGTTTTTATTTTATTTTATTTTATTTTATTTTATTTGATTACGTTCCCCAACAGGCCGGAGGCCCAATTACAGGGGAACGGGGGACATACACAACACCCAGAGCCGGGCGGGAATCGAACCCACGACCCAGGGTGTAGCGGGCAAGCACGAAGCTACCTAACCCACCTGGGTCCTCTGGGTTTTGACGGTTTCAGCCTCCAAGAACCGAGAAATAATTTGGGCTGAACTAATTTTGTGATGATGGGAAGTATTATTTTTTAAATATGCAAAACTGCCGGTAAGAATCAACCCCAGCGCGGTATTTTGAAGCACCGGTGGGTTTTTACTGAAATGACTTATTATTTTGGGTATGGTATTTTCGGAATGTTTTTTCTTGTCGAGTATTGCTACGTTTGACGTATTGTCTTTAATATTCGAGTCTACGGATTTACATAAATATTGCGATCTACATTTAAATTGGTTACAGACTAACAATGAGTCACAGTTTTTCGAATTAACTGTAGGATTTTTTATTTTGTCTAGTGCGGTAGATGACTCTGCATTAGAAGTTTTATCTAAATTAATTTGAGATACGCCTTCGGAGTTGTAACAATCATTAACAGGATTATTTTTATCTTCATTCGGTGTTGAATTTGGAAATTTTGAACAATTCAATATTAGACTGGGCGTTCTTGAAACAACGGAATCAGGAGGGGATTTTTTACTAATAGTGAACCGCAATTTAGGTAGAGCATTGAAATGGGTTTTGTGAATTTTGATGGGTTCTCCATTTCTTAATTTGTGTACCTTTAGAGGTTTTAAGTTTTGACAAGCTTTTTCCAGATCCGTGGTTGGCACGTTAGTGTTTATCTTACATGAATTCGAGAAAGTACACAATGGATTAGTTTTCTCAATGAGAGCTTTATATAATTCGGATATTTTTTGAATATAATTTAGCACGTCTCTGATATTATAAATTATAGGTTTGGTCGTTTCCGTGTTACTCGTGTCATTCGGGACTACCATTGTTTCGGATTTTTGTTGAACTACAAGCATTTGTAATTCTGAATAAATTCGCTGTACGTCTTCAAATCGACGCTTTAAGTGGCCTCTTTTTTGATGATTTGCAACATTTGATATAAAATTAGAATGTGAATCTATTTCGCTGAGAAGAATTGAAAATTTAACAAAAGTATTGTCTTGGATTACCACCATCTTGAGTACGAGAATAATGTATTACACCAACCCAAACAGAATTAAAGCTTACCTGGAATCCTGGATTCCTGAATAGAATTATCTTGGCTGACGCTGAATGATACTTGAGGAGTTTGCACAGCACTCGCGGTCGTCACCGATAGTTGAACACTGCGCGGATGATTTCTAGGTGATGTTTTGATAACTACTTTGCTGAATTCCAGCCGATGAATGATATGTTGA